AGGGGGACGACGGCGACGGCGGCGCCCGGCGACGACGGCGACGGCGCCCCGGGGCCGGCGAATTCCAAGCATCCGAGAAGGGCAAAGCGCTTGTCGCCGTCGTCGCGGTCGGGCGCGGCGACGGCGACCGCGACGAAGACGACGACGACGAAACAAACGAGTGCGTGTTGGGCTGGGCGCGTCGGGGGTGTCGACACACCGGCCGCTGCAAACGCGGTGGCGAATATGTGCCGCTAGCGGTGGCGGATATGTGCCGCTCGAGGGCCTCTTCGGAGTCCCGAGGTAAAAAGTGGAGGAGGTATCGAGCGGGACAGCTGTTGTTTGCAGGGGGTCCTGAGGCGGAAGCGCCAGTTTTGTTGGAAAGGCGGCTTTGGGCGGCGAGCAAGAGCCCTGGCCCCGTGACAAGGGAGGACGTATCGAGCCGGAGCGTTGTTCTTGTGGGGGGTCGGTTTTGGCGGAACCCCGAAACGCCTGATTGTGAGCCTAATTTTCAAATGACGTGCAAACGGCGCCAAGGCGAGAGCGCCAGGGCACATTCAGGGCGTCCAGCACTAAGACGTGTTTAAGAATTCCGGTTCAACAAGACCGCTAACAATATCAAGAACAATACCAAAAGCAATGACACCAACAACGACGACAGCCAAAACAACAATAACAACACCAACAGCAACACCACCACCAACAACAACAAGCATATTCCCAAATGCTTATGATAACAGATGCAGCATGCATCCATCATAACAGCCCCCGCTCATGGATGATCTTTTCTTGCCCAAAGGGGCCCGATATTCCCTTACCCAGATCTCCCGCCCGTGGAGGTATTGACAACGACCCTGCCGAGGCACTTCAGCATCTCCAGCCTGGGTGGCACATCGCATTCGCAATCGCCCTGCCCACGCGTATCGCCACGCCCGAGTGGCCGAAAACCCTGGGAGAGGCCCCACAACCTCTGGGAGAGCCCCCAGAGCCCCTTAAACAGCCTCTGGAGCCACTTGGATAGCCCCCAGAGCCTCTCAGAAAAGCTTCAGAACCCCTTGTGGGAAACGTGAGGGCTCCTGGGAGACGCTTTAAAACTGGACTCTAAGATTTCGGTCCATCTCGAAGGAAACCTCAAGGCATTTCTGGAAAAGGCTTGGATCGGAGGAGCTTCTGAGCCTCGGGGAAAGGAGAAGAGGAGGGAGCAGGAGGAGGAGGCGGAGGAGGAGGAAGGAAGAAGTAAGACGACGGAGGAGGAGGAGCAAGAGGAGGAGGATGAAGAGGAGGAAAAGGAGGAGGAGGAGGAGGGCGACGACGACGACGACGAAGACGACTACGACGACGACGACGACGAGGTCGACGACGCGGGCTCTCGGACTGCCCCTGGCATGCGGAGAGCGCCAGAGAGGCGCCGATGCGGACCTCCGACAGTGCAGGCGGCATTCCTGAGGATCGGCACTGGGCACTGGGGAAGCCCCGGGGCCTCTGGAAGTCTTGAATTAGAAGCGGAGGAGGTATCGAGCGGGACCGCTGATGGTTGCAAGGGAGGCCGTCTGCAGCGCCGAGGTGGGAGCGCCTGGCCGGAGTACAGTCGGGGCGTTGACCTAAGGAACCCAAAATAAGGAACGAGGCCCCTTTTTTCCATAAGTCAAACTTCGATTTCCCATCGAAAACCTGAGGAAAATCTAAGGCAAGCTGCGAAACAATTAAGGAGCACGGAGCCCCTCCCCAACGAAAAGGGTTCCGTCTTCAGCGCCCCGACTGTAATAAACAAGGAGATATCGAGCGAGAGTGCCAGTTTTGTTGGAAAGCCGGCTCTCGGCGGTGAGCAAGAGTCCCAGTCCCGAGCAGGAAAGGAGGAAGTATTGATCGGGAGCGTTGTTGCCGTTGGGGGCAATTTCGGCGCAACCCCGAAACGCCCGAGCGCGAGCCGAAGTTTCTTTCAGAGGAAATGCAGCCAGCAACAGCAACAACAGCAACAACAATACTACGACTACTACCAGCAACAACAAAACCAGCAACAACAACAGCAACAGCAACAACAACAACACCATCATCAGCAACAACAGCAACACCGACAACAGCAACAGCAACAACAGCAACAACAACGATGAGGATGATGACTATGATGATGAGGATGAGGATGAGGATGATGATGATGATGATGATGATGATGATGATGACACCTGGACTAGGGAGAGGAATCCACCTCCGAAACTGTGGGGACCCTGTCCACGTGTTGTCGAACAACAGCAACAGCAGCAACAACAACAATAACATCAACATCAACAACAACACATACAGCAGCAAGTACAACAACACCAGTCAGTTTACGACTGTTCGCTCTTGCCTGTTCGCGTGCCATTCAATACGTATGTCCTGAACCTTCGGTATCCATCCTCTTCGTCTTCGATCGTACCCCCTTGCGGGTATATCTTCCTTATCTGCCAGGTGTAATTGGTGCAGCCCCTTCAACAGGGAAAGAGAGGACGGATGGAAAGGAGAGGAAAAAGGATGGAGCAGGGGATTAGCAGGCGGGGGCCAGGAGCAGAAAACACGTGGCAGAACCAGACGAGCCCATCGGGCGGGTAGTTCCTAACGGGCGGGTCGGGATGGCGGACCCCGGCGGCCAGGTCAAGCAGGCGGGTTGCTCAAACGTGAATACTGCATGAATCGCGGGGCAGTCTCGAGCGAGCGATAGCGTGATTTCCAAGTAAATCGTGAGGAAGGCCAAAGCGAAAGAGCGATTCCTGAGTGTCGCGGGCGCGGCGTCTGAATAACATGCGAGGACGTCCCACGAGACAGCGCGATTCCTGCATCAATTGTGAGGACGTCCCGCGCGAGAGCGCGATTTTAGAATAATGTCTGAGATGTATTCGGCAGGAGCCGTTGTTTTTGTAGCCGGGGGATTGCAACAACACAATTTGAGCATGAATATTTTCCCTGACCAAAAACAGGGTGCGAGCCCCCAGGGGGGCTCTTCAATTGAAACACCACCCTGTGCATCGGTGAAGGGGGGCCAACAACACTAATTCTTCAAGAATGAGGGTTCAGCAACACCAGCAAACAACAATCATTTTAAGACTGTTCGCTCTTATCTGCTCGCGCGTACCTCACCACGTACATCCCAAACCCCCGATACCCGCCCTCTTCGTCTTCTATCGCACCCCCTCCGGGGGGTACATCTTCCTGACCTGCCACGTGTATTGGGCGCAGTCCCTAAAAGAGCAAGAGGAGTGAGAAAGAATAGAGATAGAGAGAGAGAGAGCGACATGAAGAGAGAGGGAGATATATATATATATAGAGAGAGAGAGGAAAAACAAAAAAAAAAAAAAAAACAAAAAAAAACGAGGAGGAAAGGAGTGGGGGAAGGGAGGGAGGCAAGGGACAAGAAGAGGGAGGGAGCAGAACTGCGGACGAAAGAGATTAGAAGGTGGGGGGCCACGAAGGGCGCATATGTGGGCCACAAAGGGCAGCGAGGGGGCCAGAGGGCGCAGGCCACGAAGGGAAGCAATGATGCCACTGAGGGCACGAGCGACTGGGGACCACGAAGGGAGTACATATGGGCCGCAAAGGGCAGCGAGGGGCCACCGAGGGCAGCATCGGGGCCACGAAGGGCAGCGACTGGGCCACAAGGGGAGGGGCCACGAAGGGCAGCAATGAGGCACAAAGGGTGCGAGCGACCATGGGGCACGAAGGGCATGACCCTGACGGGCGGGCCGAGCGGGCGGATCGATCGTGAGCTCTGCGCGATTAGCCAGGAAGCTTCCATCGAGAGGGCGATTCCTAAGTAAATTTGAAGAAGTCCCAAGCGCACGCGCGATTCCTGAATGGCAAGAGCGCGGCGCCTGAGTAAATTGCAAAGAAGTCTCAGGCGGGAGGGCGATTCTTTAATAAATTGCGAGGAAGTCTCAAGCGGGAGCGAAGGACCAGAGTAAATCCCACCAGCCCTCTGGGCGTCGGTGGTTTAGAGCGTTTCCTCTTCCACCCCTCCTTCTTCCCCTTCGGGGAGGGGTTTACCCCTCCCCCTACCCCCTCCCCACTGACCTGGACAGGGGGGGCCGCGGGTAGTTAGAGCGTCCAAGAACGACCCCTGGGAGGGCTAAAATTCGACACCCCTCACGAGGATCGTGCCCCCCAGGGGGGCGACGCTAAAAAATGCTTCCCCCTTCTGCGATCGATGTCCTCCAAGAGGGCCTCAAGAGACGTCTCGGACTCTCCTCTTGCGCCCTGCGCGCGGGCGGGCGGAGCGCCGCCCGCCCGCCCGCGAGGCCCAAGAGCCCACCAAAACGTTCGAAGATACCTCCAAGACGCCACCAGGGAAGAGGAAGAGGCGGAGGAGGAGGAGGAGGAGGAGGAGGAGGAGGAGGAGGAGAGGCGGAGGAGAAGGAGGAAGAGGGGGAGGAGAACAGCTGCCGATCATCGGCGCTCTTCGTTCGAGTGCCTGGTGTAGGATGGGCTGGTGGGGATACGCGAAGCGTCAAGAATTTCGAGGAAATATCAAGCGGGAGCCGCCGTTGATGTTGTAAACCGGGGGCCAGGGGCACATTTTGAGGAAGACTTTCCCTGATAAAAAAACAAGGTGCGAGCGCCGGGAGGGGCACTTCAAATGACACATGTAATGTGCACTGGAAGGGGGGGGGTCAACAATAGCCATTCTCCAGTAGTGAGAGTTCAACAAACACCAACAACAAATCTAGACCGCGGATCCCCACTTCAGCCACGCACCCAGAGACAATGTAAGACCGTTCGGCACCCTCACTCTGATGATATTTGCCCACAAAGGCCCGAATGGCTTCCCCCAGCATGCCTTCTCTCGCAACGCTCCAAGCGTCACTACTAGAACAAGCTGTGCATTGTTTCGCAAGTGTAGTACTTGTACAGACTTATACTCGCGCTTGCGTTTCTGAGAATGTCCCTACGGTCAACGTCTTCAATGGGCTAGGCGGATGTCGTTACACCACTCGTCGCAACAATGTCCTCGATGGGCAAGGGATAGCTGTGGCAAGCAAGCCAAAGTTAGCCTCCATTGCCATTTTCCATTCGTTCTGCGCTGCATCGAGTTGTCGACGGAAATCTTGGCTCACGCCTGTTCTCCACTGACTCTCCGCTGCATCCAGCTGCCGGCGAAACTCCTGAGGCGGCTGCAATAGGACCGCAGACGTGCCAAGTGTGATGCAGCAGGGCAATCATGCTTCTCGAAATCAATCGACGAAGAGAGAATGAGAGAGAGCGCGCGTAAAGTCTTAAACTTGTATGCAGCCAAAAGAAGGCTACAACAACAAGGCAGGCGGAGAGACAACTGTGCACGACAAGAACCGCGAGGCCCTGCACCTCCATTCGCTCCCCCGCTTCCCGCCCGATGCACGTCACTGCGGCCAGACCTGGGACAGAAGAGCATCGCGGAAAAGTAGCACCCCCCAAACCGTAGGATCACCGAGGGTACCCTCCCCCCAGGCTGCACATCTTACTCCGCGCAGACATCCACATGCACGCAGCTCGTGCACGTGCCGTTCGCAGCACGGGCCAAGTGCAAACAGAGCGCGACGCAGCGTCAACGCTGCCAATGCAGATGCGTTCAAGCGTCCTGACAAATAGAGCCCATGATACAGAGGCGGGGGCACGAAACGAACATGTCACGAATACGGACCCTCCCCCAGGACAAAAACATCCAGCAATCACTAAGAAAATGTGGATACCCTCCACGGACCGACCTCGATCTTGTACCTCGGTCCGACAGTACTCCCTCTGAAGTGCGGCGCTTCATTCAGAAAGGAGTGTGAGCTGTCAGAATGACGGGAACAAGCGGTCTTACGTTGTCCCTGGATGCGTGGCCGAGGTGGAGTTCGACAGTGCCGTCTCTCATCTCTACTGCTTCTGTCGACATCGCCGTCGTCGCCCCCGCAACCAGCTCCGCGACTCACCCGCGACACGCCCCGCGACCTACCTAATGACCCGCCCCGCGACCCGCCCCAATTGTGAAGCGGCCCCGCGGCGGCCGTCTTGCATTGGCACTGCACTCACCACTGTGTGCCCTCGCCGAGCTCAATGCGATCCGCGCCGCTCGCGACTCGCGCCCCCCTCCCTCCTACCGGCAACTGCGGGGGTGCTATGTGGCAATGCTGGCTGCGTTGCCCTCCATTTTCGCCGGCCCCCTGGGGCTACTCGGCGAGATCCCTTCTCCCCCCCCCAGACGTCGTCCCCGGGAGGCTGAGCCAGCCAAGTTGGAGGAAGGGGTCCACCCGACAGGGTCGGTGTGGTGCCGGAGTGGTGCCAGAACGGCCTGGGCATCTGCAAAATCGTCCAGATGGCTTTCAAGATCGCGCAGGATGGTCGAAGTTAGCTCTAAATCGTCACTAGTGTGCGCTCGAGAAGCCCCGAGACGGCTCGAGGTGGCCAGATCATATTTTATTCGGGGGCACGAAGGAAGGGCCCCAAGACGTCCCCAGGAACGCCATGACGGACCAGAAAAGGCCCCGAAGAAGGCCCAAGACGTCCTCCAGAGTCCTAGCCAAAGAGAGTCAAATTTCGGCCCCGGATGGTGTCACGACTGCCCCGAAAGACCGCAGGACGCGCCAAGACTGCCCAACAACAAAAACTGCGGTGCTCCCCAAATCCCCCAAGAGGGCCCCAAAGGCTCAGCAGGACAGTTCTTGATAACGGTCTCGCACCCCAGAAGAGAGGCACCCAGGGTCCCCAAGGGGTCGGCAGTGTGGCGTAAGTCAACGAACCTGCTCCGATGCCGTGCCGGTGACGTTGCTAACGCTTCTTAAACACACATGCGTTCATTTTGACCCGGGTCGCAGGGCCCGATTGGGTTGCATCTACAAGCGCTCGTTTGCTGTAGCCGAAAACAAAAACCACCACCCTGCCCCAGGCACTGAGTGGAGTTTTGTCAAGTCCCCTGGAGTCCTCTCTATAGAATCATGAATGCTCTGTTAGAAGGCCACAGCCCCGAGTACTGGGCGCTCTCGGACACAGGCTCCCAAGACGTTCCCAAGAGGCTCCCCCAAGAGGCCCCAAGAAGCCACCAATAATGCCGCCACGAGGCCTTCCCAAGAGACCCCAAGAATGCCCAAGAAGGACGACGACGAAGAGGAGCCCGCCCATGGGCCGAAGGCAATTGGACTATGTCGGGCATGTTCTCCTACAGGCGGATTTGGACGAAACAATAATAGTCAAACGA